AAATCTATCAGTTTTCAACAGCTAGGTGACATCATAAGCGTTCACGGCATACACAGCGTACAGACTACTGCATGAACCTACACAGTGAATAATGATATAAAATGCTAGAAGACTTCATTGTGAATATTGTGCTATCACTGTTACTGACTCTTCACATAGCTAAAAAGTCTTTTCATAGCGATACCCAAAACAAAGTAAAATACTAATTCAAAATTCAGCTATAGAATATCTTCCTCTTTAATTGACACCAGAAAATCACTTCCATGACGTGAACAGTGAGAAAGCACTAAGCACATGTTACAGTACATAAAACCAATCTAACTAGAATCTACTTTCTTCATCTTTATCTCTTCCTTTACCTTCACTGTCAACTCCAGTCTCGAAAACTACGTCTCATGCACTACCCCGCCCAACTAGTAAACATACACAGTCATCCGAAGAATCATACATCTACACTAAAGCTTTCAACGTTTGAACCCTGTAGCAAATCGGAAAAAGGATTTCTCCTGCCAGAACTTTGGAATCTCGAGGCACGGTATATGCTGTCTCTGAGACACGTATACAGGACCCATAGAAATGTTACCGTACGGTAAAATCACTGTGTGAGCAGTGTTGAAGTTAAACTTAGGATACTAAGCAAGGAAGGCAAGTCAGTTGATTAGGTTGTGGACGTTCAGCAACCGAGGTAGCTTATTAGCTGTGTGCTGCATATGCCAAGCCACTACCCCACCTACTTTGGCATTCAGTGTTAGTCGAAGTATGATTGAATTAGAAGCAAGCTAAGGCTGACCAGAAGAATATATGGCATCAATCCATGAAGTTTCTGACTGTTTGAGTTGTGTAGTGAGGTGTGTACTGCTTGGTTTAGGTCCTCGGCACGATAGGAATCAATGATTGGAGACTTTTGGTGATATGACTGAAAATCGGTTCCAACAACGCAGATGTATTCATTTTCTGACATCTCCGAAGTCTTCAATACTTTTACTGACCTTCATTTCGGTTTTATCCTTTCTCTTATACATTTTTGTCTACTTGTACTTCACTTTTCCTACTGACTTGTTTTTTGCATGCTGCAACTTGAGCTAATGCAAATCAGTGCGGTGTTCAACTTTAATTTCTCTCGCTTTTTCTCAATCCGTGTCTGGAATACGATATTAACTCCCTAGATATCGTTGTTAAACATAAGATTATGAATGAAGCAGTTGGAAATACACCACAATAACACACACGCATTGATTTTTGTTATGTTATTAGTAGACTATTATCATTCGAATTCGTTTTATCTTATGTGTTGCACATTTAAATAGTGGAATATCCTGAGGGTTTTTATGTTTTGTTCCAACAGCTGAGAAGTTATGCATTAGTAAACTACGCAGAAATACAATAACCATTTGTTTTCCACGTTAACTCAGTTTCATCTGCATACGCAGTGATATATTTCAAGCCTTTTAACGCAGTGCATGATTTATATGTTCATAGTCTAAATGTGAAAACCTTTATTGACATACAGTTTGCCGATACGGGAAGAGTGATTAAACGAGCCTAACAGATTAAACAAACCCGTAGACATATATTTCAGCTGTTTGAACTTCCTCATTAAGAAATTTTGCGTTCATGTGTAATAAATGTGAGCGCAAAACATGCCAGTATTATCAGCCTAAACTCCATGAAAACTCAGTAGTCATTTAGATTATTTTGGTGGATAGTTGGATACGACAGTTGTCAGAACGGTGATTCACTTTCTACCCACCTTGAAGATAATAACAAGCTAATATTCAGTTTAATTATTGCGTTACATTCCATCATATGAAGAAATTCCAACAGGTAATTAAAGAATATTTATCCAGCATGTTACTGCCTAATGAGACAATCAGTTAAACATCTCTCGTTTCATGCGAATTGAGGTAATTAGTAAGTAATTATTGTCAAAAGAGCAAATTCAATGGTAAAGAAAAAAGTATTGACTCTGCCTTTTCAACAATAGTGTGATGAACATAGAGTATGCGAGACTGACTGTAAGCAGGAAATCCCTGAAACTTCGTATTTTAAGAGGAGTAATTTAGAAGTGCTAACTGTCCGGCTGCCATGACAACCAATAATCTTCAGATTGATGCTAAGATAATGACTAACATGCTTAAGACACGACAACTAATCTATCAAAAATAAAATTGAGTTAACCTCCCTATTCTGATTCTTGGAAGTATGGTTGTATTTTGTGACAAAAACAGTTCCGTACGGAAGTAACAAGCATCAAAAAACTGCACATCTCACCTGCACAGTTGAACTCGGAGGAATTTGTGCTGACATTGAGCTAAGAGCCGACAAAGCACTTGTGTACAAAAAAGAATTCATATTCAAGCATTCAATAATATTATTGTCTACATTTCCCATATTCAACGCGCTAACACCAGGAACTGGTATTGGTAAGATAAGAAGTGGTAGTACTATTGGTGCACATGTATTCATGTGAACATGATTATACGTAATGTTTGAACTGGAAACTGGTGGACATTTTCTACGTGATAAACTGGAAGCAACCTTGGTCTCGGAAACAGAACTAGATATGGTGTTGGAATGTCCACTCCTTCTACAGTGCTGGAGTAGATGCTTCTTACTCGAGTAAGACCTGAAGCAAACTGAACAAGAATATGTTGATCCACACAATTTTTGATGATAGGCATGATAGGAAGGTGTAGGGAAGAAATGTTTACACTTGTCACATTGATAACTTTTCTGCATGTGCACATTCTGATAGTGCTATGGAAGCAAGAAGTCATTAATTATAAATATCGAACATACCTGCTTTAACCTCCAGTAGGTACTGAATCCACCTCCTAAACCAATGTTGTGCTTACATGTTGCAACCGGACAATGGTAAATATGATTAACATTATACCTTTGTTTCGAATAAAATGCAATATCTTTTGCATTCTACAGTGGAAATATACATTAGTAAAAGTAAAGGCTTCTACTACTTTCATGATTTTGTGAGTTTTGATCTGATGGGCTCGTAAATTGGCTTTTGTTTTCACTTTGACACCACATAACTCGCATACATATACTGGTAGCGGTAATTCTGCCAGTTCTGATTCTGAAATAACTACGTGTAAAACGTTTGATTCTGAAGCGGGAAAATTGTCACCATTATGAGCGGTATGATCATCAGGTTCGGAAGGAAATGAATGATAAACCTCATAGGCTCCCATGATCTAACAATGAAAAGATATTGTTATAATCATCGGATAAGCCTGGGAGTGAACTACGTATTTAAAGAGCTAATATAGAACCATTTGTCTGAATGTGATAGCAATGATGATCCTGAGGAAACCTAGCGTCACATTAAGTCTGCTGTAGGAACAGAGATAAAGATTATTGGTAGCCTTCACTGCAATGGATTTCTGCAACGTCATTCGAACTGCCTGATCCAAGAAAACTGATTCTAGCTGCCTCTAACCACGATGGAAAGCGAAAGCAACTTAAACGTGAGTTGACCGAGATTTCTTGCACCGGTCTCCAGGAGTGGTGGGTGACGAAGAGATGGAGAAGGCATCAGGGTTGGTTAACACTCTGCAGCTATTTAGGCTTTTTAAGGATGCCGGGAAGGAGACGACGGTCAGTGAAACCATTACCGAAAAGGATGGGATGCTGATTACCTCTCAAGACAGCGGGTTAGGACGTTGGGCAGAACATTTTGAAGCACAATTCGACTGGCCCTAAGTAACGCTTCCATTACCTAACATCCAGCATGAACCTGAATAGGACGTGGATGTCGGTCCTCCAACCCTCCTTGAAGTTGAGGTTATAACGAACTTGAAACAATGCAAAGCAGCAGGATCTGATATTTTGCCACCGGAAGTTTTAAACGATGGAGATAAGAAGTTGCTAATTAAAGTGACGAAGATACTAGGCAGTGTGTGGGAATCACAGGTAGAGCCATCAGACTGGTATACTTCACTGATCATCCCAGTCTATAAGAATGGAAATAAAACTTCATGTGACGTGAAATTAGTTTAACTCATATTCTATCCAAGATCCTAGGGTCAATGGTATTTCAACATCTAACTGGAGATAGAGAACAGAAAACTCCAGAAAACCAGGCATGTTTTAGACCTAGATGAGGGTGCAACGATCATATTTTTACCGTCCGACAGGCTCTGGAACACAGGAATACTTACCGGTAGACGATCCTTGGCATATTTCTTGACCTGAAGGTGGAATTTTACTCGATTGGCCGTGAGGTATTGCGGGAGTGTCTGACTGAAGCGGGTGCCGATCAGTTATATAACTCTAATCAGAGCTCTCTACTCGAACTCACGTCACATCTTCAGAACTGACGGCAACTTGTGGTGTCCCCTAGAGATGTCCACTATCACTGTTCCTATTTAAATTCGTCATAGATGTACTAATGGACATAATCTTAAGTATGTCCCACTTCACAGGGATTGACCTACTCCCTGGAGGTTATCTAGTTGACTTGGATTACGCAGACGTTATTAGCCTGGTGGGTGAAGACTCTGACAAAATGCAGGGTCTTGTGAATGCATCGAGGAGCAATCTGAATATGTTTGGCATGTGTTTCGCACCTGCCAAATTTCAGATGATGCTCCAGGACTGGTCAGTCGCAAATACTTCCAGTTTAATGATAGGGAGTGAAGTGATGGAATGTAGAATCCACTTCTTACTAGGCAAGTTGCATCAACTCGAACGAGTTGGTTGAGGACGAAATCTCAGCTCAGATACAGAAGGCCCGTTTGACATTCGCCAACTTACGTCACTTATGGCGCCAACTGCCTATTAGAGGACGAGTATAATGCGCCGCAGTCCGTTCTGTCCTGTTATGTGGCTGAAACATGGTCGTTAAAAGTAGAAGATATGAAGCGACTACAGGGTTTTGATCACAGATGTTTTCGTAGCATTGCTCGCGCTCCGTGGAATCACCGTGTGAGCAATGTTGAAATCAGGCGAAGGGTGCTAGGCAAGACAGATAAGTCAATTGATGAGACTGTGAAGCCTAGTCGACTAAGATGGGTTGAACATGTACTGCACATGCCGAGCCAGCGCTTACCTCGACGTAGTATGCTAAGGGAAGTTGGATTCGTTTGGAAGAGGGTTCAGGGTGGCCAGACCAAGACCACCAGTCGATGAGGTCTCTTACTGTTTTTCTGAGTTCTCTGGGGAGATGACTGCCTGGTTGGGGTCCCTGGGACGAAACCAATTAGTAATTAAGAATTCTTGGTGACATAGATGAAAACTGGTCACAATGGCGCAGATGTATTTACTCCTTGACATCTAGAGCTTGAATATTTGCACTAACCTTTATCTTCAGACTGCTTTGTCTGTCACACTACTTTACATTCTTGATATGTCTTTTTCTATCCACTTGTTCTGTGTGTACTACTGTGAAATGTGGAGACTTCAGCCGATACACCTAAGTTGATTTTGTCAGTCGATGTAACCACCAGATGTCCGTGGTCAGTCTTGAATAGTGGACTGATGATGGCATCCTTCCAATACCTGGGCGATTTCGGTTGATTCGGTGGCAAGAAATAGCTAAGATAGTGGTTCGCCAAGAATATCTGCTGGCGCTGATCACATGAATGTTCGAAGTCCACCAGGACCATAGGACCTGCTATTCTGACGTCTGGTTTCCAGTTATCCCAGGATCTATTTCTCTCTTATCCTATCTTCCGATGACCAGTCAAGTATAACTGTTAGACAAGAACCAACGACCACACATGCCTTAGACAACGAAGGGTTCCATTCTTTTAGTCCCTAACATACCCTTGAGTTGACATACATTAGTAACTAACACCAACCAATCTTTTATCTTTTCTCATTGAATTTCTAGTACTTACAGAGGGAGCTTCTACATGGGAGGCCCAACAAAGTGAAAGCCAAGGAAATGTCGTCGAATGGAACCCGACTCCATTGATTCCTTCACACTGGATGTGAGTAAGCTGCTCGCAAATTCCTGTTTTCCGTTTGTAACGGGGATTCGAGGTTCCTAGTACTTTTTTCAATGCCTATCTGCCATCTATAGCTGTAAAAATTTTAAAAGAAATGCGCGAAAGTTGTATAAGTTTTCGTCTAGTCTTCCAATCAGCAATTGTAGATACAATCGGAAATGAAGTCATTCCTTTAAGGCTTGGTAAAGATGACCAGTTACACTCCCTCTAATGCCCTAAAGCTTCTCTGAGAGACTTCAGGGGGAGCATTCTAGTGCTAAGTGTTCTCAAGTTTGGCAGGACGTCACCTGGTCTCAAAAATACACCACTCAACACACAACAGTTGCCGACATATATTACGAACCCCTTTCATCCCATTCATTATTCGAGGGTTCTCCTAATGACTGCTTGTTAGTTGAGCTATTACCTGTTGATAGGATACGACTTACACAAGATGCTCTGAAGTACTACGGAAGCATCACAAATACAATTAAGAAGAATTGGTATGCCCAGTCCAGGCAAAGATTTCCTGAGTTCCTAAAAAGAAGAGATAAAATATCACGACAGTCTGAGGGATTCTTAACTTGGAATAGCAGAAAAGTTATTGATCCGACACTGTGGTCTGTTGTACTGCACGATCTTCAAGCAATTCTAAAGAGCTAGAAATGCTTGCTGAAGATTCACTACTTTAGATTCGGAATGCAGAAAATACAAAATACTCATGAAATTATGGGGACACTCTTCAAATCCAAGATTCTACGAACTAATTTGAGGACTATGACTATGTCAGATGCACACTATTATCGAGGAAATACTTGTCGGTCGTCAATGGGAATTATACTGCAGCGAATAGGGAAGAGGAAGATGAAGATTCTGCAGCTAGAAGACTATTCTGTTCACCGTCACCCACCACAAAGTAACATCGCTGTCCATAACGGTGAGAGGAAGCAAACACTGATTGGTCCATAAATGAATTAATACCGATAAGAATAAGTGAACTGACAAGACACAGAACCAACCAAGCCAGCACTTACTTCGGGCGCACCTTGGAACTTCTGGGTTTTAGCCCGAAGCAACTTCGGGAGCACCTACCGAATTTCGGGTTTCCTCTAAATTTCCCAATTATTTCCATTGGCCGTTCCCATTTCATTGATTTGTAATAAACAAACACATGCGGTAAACGTGAACGATATATAGCAATATTACCAAATATGGGTTCTCAGATCTATGAATATAAATTATCCCAAAACTTAGGTCGCATTGCCTACACTTTGTGAACTTCGGAAGCATTGCATACAATTAGGCCACACATTGGAACTTTTGAGTTTCAAGGAAAATGTCTGGAAATTTCGGGTAGTCTCGCGCGTATCCTTATCTGCGCCCGAAGTAAATGCTGGCTAGGAAGTATACTTCTGGAATATATTTTTATGTGCAGCCACTCATTGGCGTTATGACGCCAATGAGTGGCTGCACGTAAAAAAGTGTCCTAGGTATCCTATGATGACCAACAAAAAGACAAAACCAAAATAATAAGCACTACTTACGGACACCAATTTCACCGGTAGTGAATGCCAGCTATAAACGCTGTGTCGTTTCGGTACGAAAGTGGCTCGTTTTCGTTTCTACCGTCCTAGACACCCAATATCCAATATTCCAATATTGATAGTGCGAGCGTAGAAAACTGGTATTTTTTGATCTCTTGCGTCTAGTTCTTAGGGCTTGGTTCGAGTTGTTCGGTTCATTCCTGCAGTGGACGAGGAAATCCCTTCTGCTTTCTTGCTTTTGGCTTCGGTGAGGTGGATGTTTTGTGGGTTAGTAGGTTGTAATTTGTAGAGTGATTAGGGAGCTACGAGTTGCTGAGAAGTTTAGAGAACTGCTATGACTCCTGTCTGTGTAGGTACCTGAAGGAGAATAGTAAGGTAGTGGTAAAGGAATGAAGAGAGAATAAAGAAAAAAAATGAAAGAAAAAAAGAGGAAAAATAATAATGATATGAGGAAGAGAGAAGGGAAGGAGAAGAAAAGGAGGGGTGAAAAGAGAACGAAAGAAAAGTATTTGGGAACTGCCCGAATGGTCGCGTGGGTTTGGTTCCTACAGAAGAATTAGCAAGTAATGTGGGTGTATTAAGGAGAGAGATAGTGAGTGGTAGTTAGGAGGAAGTTGGGGGGTACTGAGGTTGGTGACTACCTGAGTACGTCCGTGGTAGTCCATGCGAGGTGACATAACTGTCTAATCATCTCTTGAATGAGTCGACTGAAGGAGCTATAACAATGTGTCGCGGTAAGGCATCCTATAAAGCCCACACCCTTAGGAGGAAAAATTGGACCTGAGTATGGTGTTGGCTCTCTGGTGTGCTATCTTAATGGGGTTTCCTTGTGAAGATCGTTGAGTTGCAGGCAAAATTGATTTGTTTGCATGATCTGCCTGATGGGCGATCTTGTATTGCATAATGAGGTCACCCCTTTCCCTGCGATAACCCAAGGTAAATAGGTTTAGGTGTTTAAGTCTTTCAGGATACGTCTTTCCCCTTAACCCCACAACTGATTTTGTTGCAGTTCTTTGTATTCTTTCAAGGAGATTAGAGTCTCTCTTGAGTGTTGGAAGAGCCACCGTATTGAAGACCTCTAGGTGCGGCCGCACGTAGGATTTGAAAATGGTGAGGTAGAGTTCGGGAGTGAATTTGGGGCGGACTTTTCATCTATCAATATCCAACATAAATAGTGCGAACATTGTAAACTTGTAGACTTCAAACCTTCACTTCTAGTTCTTGAGGCTTAGCTCCATTTGTTCGCTTATGCTTTTTCAGAGGTCGCAGAAATCTTTACAGTTTACCTACCTATGTCATTCGGGGTAGGGATCGTTTACTCAGTTTTTTTCTTTCGCGAACTGTAGGTTGGTTTGTCTAGGGGAGCAGAAAAGCTGCTGATAAAATCAACTTGGCGTTCGCACTTTCTGTCTTTGCAAGCATCTGTAAAGAAGTATTAGGCGTTGTTTTAAAGGGGCGAGGAATGGAGTGAGTGAAGAATAAGGAAAGAGGAGTGAAAAGTACTTATGGAAAATGGCTGTTACCGGCAATAACTCAGGTAAGGTGTGAATCTCATTGCAGAGTCTAGAGTGAAGTAATTCAAGAGGGAATGAGCGAATCGTTAAATGTTACCGGTGAATATCGGTGGAGGCCGTTTGCCCTCACTTGGTTACAGGGTAGCCGTTTCAAGAGTCAGCTGATGAAGCTGCGACTACTTCTTTTGGCAGGTCATCCCACTAGACAAACGCTGTGTGACGAGCTAGGTCTCGCACTTCTGCCTGCTCTGTGATACACATACAAGCTGAGTACCTGTGGTACTGTCGATTTGAGACCGATAGTGTCGTCTGTTGGGTTGGCCCGCCTAGTGCATGATATCGTAGCCTGTTATTAGGTCACCTCTTCTCCCCCCAATACCTAAGGGTGAACGAGTTGAGTTGCTTTGCGAATAGACTTTCCTGTTGGTCCGACAGCTTACCTTGTCGCCCCTCACTAAACCCTCTCGAGAGTACTCGCGTCCCTCTCCGCTGGAGGGGAGATATCGTGCTGAACGCGTCCAGGAGTTGTCTAACACAGACTGTAGACACCGTGAGGAATAGATCAAGGGTTAGCGCACCAGGCCGCCTTCCTAGAAAGTGTTTGAAGGGGCTGGCCCTTGCCGCCATTCCCTTATGGTTGGCATTAGTGTCCTGGCATTTTTCTTCCACACCCATTGTCCCCTATTATTTCATGTCACCAGAAAGTAAAAGGGCGGACGAGGAGAACAGACTGAGGAGCCCATTGATAATCAGTATAAATAGGGTGACCTAAGGATGAATTCCTGGGAAACTTCTGTTGCTGCACTCCTCCACGTTGGTCGAAGTCTGTTCTGTTTTGTACAGAATTATCTGTCCTCTAAACCACGATATGAGTGTCTCGGTGACACAAGCTTTTTGAATGTTAGCCAGCATGACTTTAAAGGCCAGCATAGTGACGACTGAAACTACCGACGAAGTTTCCTCATTGCGAATTGGAAGGCACTTTTCGCAAAATATTGAGGTGGAATGTGTTTCTTCATACCTGCAACTGGGCTTCGAGCCATTTGCTGGTTACTGACTTTTATGATTCTTCTGGTGACTGGTTAAGCGTGCACGAGGCGACCTTGATAAAGGTGCCCTCCTAGCTTCAGTATTTGAATGATATATTTAATGATGGCCGTGGGTTGAACATTTGGAAACTGAACAAATTGTTCCCACTGACCTTGGGATCATTGATGACATTTCTTTCTATCGACACAACTGCCCTACACGTTTCCTCCAATATTTATAGAAATGTTTCGTTTCTTTACGCAAATAAAGTTTTGATGAACTTTTTGTTGCCTTATCTTTTTTCGTTCGCAGCTGTAATGTGCTTCTGGATCCATTGCGAATATACTCCCTGCAGTCGTTTCCAAAGCGAAAAATGGTTTGAAGTGTATCGTGGTGGTTTTCAAGTCGCGTACATGGCGAAATGGGGAACCGAAGGAATACAGTTGACCAAGAAATCATACTTCTTTGACGTAGAACTAATTCGGCTTCATTTAAATCTCTTTTGTCGCTAGCACAACGCACCTAAGACAAACAAATGGTTTTTCATGATGTAGCCGTCACTAAAAGGTTTTGTCTTTGAATGCCTGGACAAAAATTAGCCACTAGCGATCAAGGGAAAAGTCTGGATGGCATCAGATGACAAGTTTCGGTGTTTCATTGCTCATTGCAGCATTTGTTTGACAGTTCGGCTACCATTAGCCTGCTTCAGAGTTTTGAATCGGGTCACTGTGTGTTAGTACAAACTACCTGGACAACCTTCGGCACTACCCAGAATAGAAGAGTTACACAAATTACAACCAGCCTCCATTGTGGTTTTCGAAAAGCCACCTAAGCCCTGCTTCGGGAAATCACCGGGATGAGACAATATTCACCCGTTTTTGGGTTGAAAGAGCAAGCGGGCACCGTTTTCGGCTGGCTCTGTTGCCTATTTCAACACTACCTGGATAAACACAAGCTTCCATGGTAGTGGAACCCTTCTATTCTCTGTCCCACTTGTTAGGGAGGAGACAGGTAGGACCCATAACACTTAAGGGAGTGTTACCAAGAGTAACAGATGATCTGGATATGTGAACGATAAGGGATCACTAAATGATGCCCAACACGGCATGCAAAAGGTTAGGATGCGCATCTCTAAACTTCTGATAGCTTACAATAGCTGGACGGCGTGGTGTTACCTCCAGATTCATGTTGGCGTGATTTTCCTGTATTTTGTCAAAGCCTTTGCGTGCGGTCGCACCGTCTTCGCCCTTAAAATAACGAGGTCGGGTGTCAACGAACAGGTGCCATCATTGTTTGGGTACTTTTTAGACGACTGAGGGTTTCGCACAAAAGTCAACAGGCCTTGCCCAAACTGGGGAGCATCGTCATCCAATGTATCCGTGGCTGTTCTTCCTTTTTTGGATGACCTGTGGAGTCTCAGCTCCTGGATTCCACTTCCCTCTGACTATGTAAAATTGGTCGGAGCTATGACATCCGAAAGAGAATTGAGCGCACCACAAGGCGAATTCATAATGCCTGAAGAGTGGTGAATAGTAACGGACTTGCACCTAATCTGGATTAGCGCCGCACCCTGTTTTGTTGCGCTCTCAGAAAGTATTCCACCCTCTCTGTGATACACGCTTTATTCGCACAACCACAAAGGAAGCTCTGGGACTAATACAAATCGAAAAATTGGGTAGTGGTTTCAATTATCCAGGAGACCCCTTCAGAACCTACACAGTACCACACTTCACGTGCAGACGAGTAGGTGCCTCCACCTGGGAACAATTTCTGAAGCTATAAGAAGAATATGTGCGCCTTGCCTAGAGGTTCACAACCTCACCACCACAGCCAACCTAGACAGAGATGTGAACAACCCGGAGAAAGCTCAGAAGAAAGCCACGAAGGGCGTTGCAAGGGTGTGGCAAAAACACACGGTGATAGGCCAGAAGCCCTATGGTTAACATGGGCTGCATGTTAACCTGATAACAGCTTAACAGATGCTAAACAACCGAAGCCACTCGAAAAGTGAAACTTTATTGAGTGTTCACTATGGCAGTCCTTGTGGAAACGCGAGGAAGATTGTCCGTGAAAAGGAGGATGCTCTTGTGCATTCACGCTTTTTTCATACCGAGTGGGCGACCATTGGAGAACTTTATAAATTGAAGCCTAAACTGCCTACCTTAGCGACTTTAACTCCTGCCATGGTGATCAATGTTGTAACCTATTTGACTTCGATATTTTGCCAAAAAGTGCCTTCCAATTCGCAATGAGGAAACTTCGTCGGTAGTTTCAGTCGTCACTATGCTGGCCTTTAAAGTCATGCTGGCTAACATTCAAAAAGCTTGTGTCACCGAGACACTCATATCGTGGTTTAGAGGACAGATAATTCTGTACAAAACAGAACAGACTTCGACCAACGTGGAGGAGTGCAGCAACAGAAGTTTCCCAGGAATTCATCCTTAGGTCACCCTATTTATACTGATTATCAATGGGCTCCTCAGTCTGTTCTCCTCGTCCGCCCTTTTATTTTCAAACTCCGTGGCGCGCTGCTTGGAAAGTAGAGCGACTTTTAGCGTTCAGCTAGGTACTTGGCATTTTTGTGCTTACACATCAACAGCTGATAAATTTTTGCTCTGATCAGAGTATTGTGCGACTTAAGTGATACAGAAACTTTTACTGAGTGAATTTCTGTAGTTTCTACTGAATGGCGAGCCAAATGTTTCGTAAAAATGCCCGCGGTAGGGCCGGATACCATTTCACAGAGGCCCCTGGTATTCAGTGTAGCAAATATGACAGTTGATTCCACGATAACTGCACAAGCCTCACACCCTCAGCCTATAAGACGTACACCAACGTAGGAAGTGTGGTTCTGCTTCTGCTCGGAAACAAAAACACTTCTAAATACGGCAAAGAAGAAACTGGCGTCAAAAGTCAAAGTCGATAACTGTGATAGTGATAACGACACAGCATTCATTGGCACAAAGATTACTGTGCAAAATTTAAAGTACGTCCGACGACAAGCTGTAAGTTGGAAGCGTAGGCTACCTACTAGGTTTGGTGACAGCGACTTGTAAAAAACTACACCAAGCGGGCAAAGCAAGTGTCTTCTGGTTCCCACATCCCCAGAGCTGGCGGATTCAGTCTGAAAACTGCTGACCGTAAGAATAGGTCTACTTCGGATGAAAGAAACAGGAGTGACGGACTCTCAGTGCCAACCACGAAGTCATGCTGGTCGCTGGTCGGAACCAGTTGGGAGATGCAAGTTCATCCTGAGGCTCTTGGTGTCAGGGTCAGTGGGCCAGGCATACCCGGCTCTGAGAAATTGCAAGTAATCGAGTCTAAACGACATGATAAGAAGCCAATAACGGTCATCGAGCCAGTTGTCATCACCCCACACAGCAAAGACAAAGTGATGCTCTTTGACAGGTCTGCAATCTTCCACAGAGTGGAAGAAGATAGAGATCCAGAACCATATAGACGTTTTGAACATAGCCTTGGGAAGGTACAAAGTTTGAAAAACCAGGTTTCACCGGAAAACACTGAGGGTCCCCCTACTCAAGGTGTATAGAGCAGGTAAAAAGGAGACAATCCCTCCTGAAAATAAGTTCCGGCTACCTAAAGTCGTATTCAGATCAGCAGATGAGAGGGATCAGATTCTCATGAATGCTCACAAGCTGTAAGGATCCAGGGTGTTCGTGCGAAAGGATCTGGCTCTTGCTGATCGAATCAAAAAGCGAGAAGCAGAAGCAGAACTGAAGTATAGATTTGCAGTGGGTTTCCTCGTTGTGAGGTTTCAGCAACAAATGATGCAGAAGCCTCTATGGATAGGACGGTAACTCATTGAAGTGGTATCGTTGCCTTGCACAAAAATACACATAGTCCTTCAAAAAAGGGTGAAAAGCAGCGAAAGCCCTGACATGACTGCCATCTCAGAAACTTCGCTCTCTTCTTGGGTCAGTGACTGTGAAACACACTTACGAGGATTCGTCCCTTTCAGGAGTGACAGGTCAAAGCGCGAAGGTGGTTTTATCCTGTACATTAAGAATACCTTAACTGCAAAAGCCATAGAAGCAGCTGCACGCGAAAGTGGGACATTTGAAATGCTGCGCTGCCGACCAAAATGCAAGGGACAAGATGTTAACGTAATCATGACATGGTGAAGCCCTGAATATGAGACAGCGGACTTTCTCCTGAATAACCTGACCCTCTAGACAGATAAGTGTGGATACCTAGTTGTTGGAGACCTCAACGCACCATTAGTTGACTGGGATGGACTAACAACAAAAGCGCCACGTAATTCGTTTGATCACAGGTTAGTGGAAACATCAATTTCTTTTGCCCACACAGCACATTAGGACACTAACCAGAAATGATCATCAGAATGCTCCATCGATTGTAGACTTAACGTTCTCACGTACAGGTGATGTATGCTTCATACAGCACCTAGCACGCCCCAACAAAAGTGATCACATTATGATCACCCAAAGATTACCAGCAGACGTCTTGTACCAGGCTGATACCCCAGCTAGACCCAAAATACAGAAAGCGGATATGGGAGCTGGTAACCTGGCAGCTTCTTCGGAGGACTGGACAGTCAATCTAGAAGCCTCAGTTGAAGGTGCATGGTGTCCCTTCAAACAGACATATGCACGAGTGACCCAACCGTTCATTCCGTGGACTGTCCTGAGGGGACGGAAACACTGCCATCCATGGATAAGCCACAAAATCAGAATATTGCTACGGCTCAAGAAAAAGTGTTGGAGTCTTACCCCCCACCTCGGTTCATACGAAGTGGTGGAGTACTACAAAGAAGCCCGAAACAAATGGATCACTGTTATCCACCGGTCTCGAATACCTTTTGAAACACGTCTTGCCCAGGCCAAATTCCAACATCCGTCGAGATTGTTTTCCGATATGAACCATAGAAATAAGATGTGTCGTGGCATACCCGCCCTAATCCAAGTGACAGAACTGGCTGTTTGTTTGAGGACGATGGAGAAGAACCAGAAGCTATGGCTGGATATTTTACTGAGGTCTCTACACAGTAATCTTCCGTGGACATACCCACCAGTAGCAGCACTAACATCCGACAGGATAATCTCTGTAGGTATCGATCGCAATAATGTATTTCGGATATTAGGCAATCTTGACGTTGAAACATCAACCGGAGCAGATGAGCCGCACCCAAGGCTGCTCGACAGCTTGCACTC